GTCGGAGGAAGGGAAAGATAGAGCATGTCCTCCTAATTCTCGAAGAATGAATGTGTGCGGCACCTGAACCATGTAATGTGAACCATGTGGAGACCCGGGCCTCCACATGGCTTGTTATTGGATAAACCTTCCCCAGGTCCTCAATCATAGCCCCAGGTGCGTCCATCACGTTATGCGGCAGACGATGCGAGTCTCCTCCCACGAGGAGTGCCTCAAGGAATATGGACGACAGCATCCTGGAAGGGAGAGCCAGATATCAATCACCACTCGCAAACACAGCATGGGAAAATATATCAAAAGAGCCAGCTTTAAAAAGAACCAATATGAATGGATGATAATGATCATGAGAGATGCAGGTAATGTATGCAACTGCAGCTGATGAGGTACCGAGCTAGCAAGGTAAATGACAGTACATCTCAAAGATAACCAATACTTGACATAACTCTACGGGAGTAACACATAAGCTTGAATAACTCTCTAGAGTACAGTTCAAAGCCTAGTAACACCAAGGCAGGACGTCACCAGGATTCCTCCTGTGTTTTTGGACGATTTTACAGGGATAAACCCCTCACCTGGGTTGTCCTTATACCCAGACTGTGTGTGGTGTGTGTGGGTACATACTCACCAAATTGTGCTAGATACAATGGTCAAGGCATCTAGAAACAACAGTGTTTAGTAAATGTTACGAATACTGAGTGTAGTGCCAGGGTAACAGGGTGCTGTACGGACGACCGTTGACGAGACCTGGTGAGTGTATGTGTGACAGCACTTGACCTGGCGCTCGCACCCTCCCCGCGCCCGACCGCAGGGAATTAATCACCGTAGAAGTGGACAACCATCTTCTCGCTGTCCCGTCATGGAGGGGGAGGGGGACGTGCTCGGGGCCCCTGTAGTGACCCGTAAGAAAGTAATCTCTCGCAAAGATTAAGAAAGTACTCACTGCCACCACCCATTTAATTGACGTATGGGAACGTTAGTGTTTGTGTAGTGAGATGGTAGTGTAAGGGAAGAGTGTGAGGAAAGGAGGGACAGTAAGTGTGAGTGTGTGTGTGAGAAAGAGAGAGGAGGAGTGTAAGTGTAGTGTGCGAGAGTTCGGTAAGCGTGCCTTAGCCGAGAGGAGACGTGTGCGGGGGGAATAACTCCCCAAACGCAATATGATGCCGATGACTTCTCTGCCTTAGTGGCTATCTACCGTTCAGCCGGCTTACACCCCTTAAGTACTCGTCCTCCCAATTGACAATATTCATTTGCGAGGGCATATGATAAAACCTTTTTCATAAATCTCGTTTATTAAAAAGAGATTAAAACACCAAATGAGTGACAGAACATGAAAAACACTAAAAGAATAAAATAACACGGAACAAAAACGTGAAAACACTAAAAGGACATAAAAACGTAAACCACACAAAAACAGAACATAAAAACATTAAAACACTAAAAGAATAGAACATGAAAACGTTAAAACTCAAAAAAACTAGAACCGTGAAAAACACGAACATTAAAAGAACTTCAATAAAAGCTAAGATAAACACTAAAAAACACTAAGAACACATGAGCTTTTGAATAAAAATTAACTTGAGGCACCGGTCTATTAGATCACTTTGTTTATCTATATTTGCATGAATTTCTCCCGATACCTTAACTTGGAGGATTCTCACGACCACTTAGCTGTTCTAGTACAGGAGGCCCATTCCGGGGTTCCTCGACAAGTGCTCCCTCCGACAACCCACAGCAAAATCCCCCTGTCACGCCTCCTTCGTTGTCTGAGGATAGTTCGTGGCGCGAACAATAATAACTCAGGAGTGGAATGCCTTCTCTCATTAAAGTAAAAATTTTATCTTAAAATAATAAAAACATGGCAAAAATAAATGTGTAAAAGTAAAAACTAAAATAATAAATACTGAAGTTAAAAAGATAAAATGATAAAATTGCCTCCTTCTCATTGTTTTGTTCATTGTTATTTGTTTGCTCATTCTTGTTCTTGTGTTGGATAACATAAAATAAAAACCTTTAATAATTGCTAAAACCAGTAGAAATACAATAAAAATGATAAAAGAGGAGGTAGGTAGGAGCCGCGTTTTCTTCTCCCCCCGTTTTCTATGCAGGCGTGGAGCCTCGGGGTAAGTGTTGCGCATCCTCACCCCCGGGAGATAAAACGATCCGCCTTTCTTTCTAGGGTGACATTTTTCCAAGTTTTCTTAATCATATCCATATGCCTGCGGGAGAGTGAAAGTGAGAGGGAGTAGCAATTCACCGTAGTGGCGAGAACCGTGGTTCACGACACCCCCGCATCGCCACCTACCACCCCCTCATCCCCCCACCCTAGGGAGGGGATTGATCTCACTGAACATAGGGAAATAAACGGTGTGGATTCGCCTGTCGCCCCCGTTGTGGATGACAAGGGATTCCAGATCGTTCAGAATAGGAGGAAGACAGTAAATACCACGTCGCAACACCAGCAACATGACCGCCGATGATGCAACTGTAAAGACAAAAAAAA